GGAATTCTGCAGGGTGCCAAAGAGACGCTGTTCAAATATGCAGCTTGGCTGGGCACAATTATGCAACAACTATGGAGCATGGTGCACCCAACAACAGCCCCTGTGCTGCGTGTGCTTTCCAGTCCTGCCAGCAGCTGATGATGAATTCAAGCATGGGAAAGGACAGGCACAAGGGTTCGTCTGACAACACGAATCCATCCGCCTGCTCCATCCATTGACAGCATCAAACCATTCTTGAGGCCACCTTTCGGGACTTATGGATGGAGGTGGTGTTGAAATTGGTGGCAGTAGCCTTGGTCAGGGTGCCTCGGCCAGGTAAGTGTCGAGCTTAAGTGAGCACGCGATTCACACATTGACGATGTTGCTTGGGGGCCTGCGACATTGCTTTTGCTTCTTGCTCCTAGTGTATAGTTAGGCCAGGAGCCCCTAGTAGCGTCCTTGCTCCTAGTAGCGATGCCCTTGCTCCTAGTAGCGATGCCCTTTGTTCCTAGTAATTAGCTTCTGGCTGGTCTTTGGTGAAGTGCAACCAGAGCCAGAGCGATCAGGTGGTCTCGACAGCCCAAGTGGCCCAAGCAGCCAACAGCAGCGATGAGGAACCTTGGCCCTGGTGTGTAGGCCGAGAATTGTCCGGATCTGCTATTGGAAGGTTTGGGACGTTTCGAGTTTGTGATTTTGGTTTGTGAGTTGGCCCGGCTGCAGAATCCATAGTGTTTGCGCCTCAGGACTTGTACTTCTTTTTGGACTTCTCTTTGGCAAAGGTTCTTGCCATTACCCTCACAATGGCTGGGACAGTGTGGATGGTGCATCCATACGCGCAGCCACAGGCCTGCAGATTTGCTATTTAACGTGCATAGGCAAAGCCTGAGTTGAATTGTTTCCGATCCACTCATCTCTTCGTGGAAGGTGAACGACCTTCAGTTCTGTTGCTTCCTAGGCTCTTTGGCAGAATGAGAAAGGATCTGAAATGTGGGTTAATGTGGGTTGGTCATCGTAGGTCAACGTGGCCCTTGTTTTGATCTGAGCGATTCGATCTGAGGCCTTTCCATCTCGGCCGTCGGCTTCAGCTTTCAGATGGCTTGGCTGAGCCGTTTGGGACTGCTGGCACCTTTGCTGCTAGCTGCTGGGCAGGCCGTGCAGCCCGACAGCCCGGAGAGCTTGGCATGCAGATTGTGGGACAAGCTAACAGAGCCTGCAAAGGACTGGCCGGGCTTGGGATTTGCAATCAAGCAACTGAGAAGATCTATCACATGGTCACGGTTGAACGTGACTCCTCAAAGTAAACTCGGACATCATCAACGGATTATATTTGACAATCCTGGATAAGTTATGTACTGTACGTTGACTTTGGAATCGAAGCTTGGAGGACGGAGACAATGATTTGGCAGAAGGGATGCCGGCAAAGGCTGTAGAGGTTGAGGTACTGAGCCGCAGGCAATCGGTTCCCGTTTGCTTCAGCCTCGAGCGACCCGCAGCTGGTGGACTTCCTCGCCGTGCCACACATCTGTAGGAAGTAGGAAGGAGGCAAGAAGAGGCCGCAAGCAAGCCATGCAGAAAGGTTGGCGATCTGGTTATGTATAGGGGAGGGTCCGGGAGGGTGAGTGATTATTTATGGTACATTGGGGGCATTGTGCAGAAAGCCATGCCATGATGGACGAGTATATCTAGTCTGCCTGCTTGGAAGATCAAGGGCAAGATTTGTGATGTGAAAGATTTCGGGTGTCGGACATGTAGGTAGATGTCTTTCTTGAGTCCCAGTCGCACACTTCAAGGCAATACCCGGCGCTTCAAGGTTTCATGTGAGAGTGCGCACTCCTCTGCAGCTTTTTGAGCGTAATTTAAAGACAAACAAGATGGTTCCGTGCAGGCCGAACGTTCATCTTGCGCAGAAACACGGGGCCGATGTGGACTCAGACATTGTACGATACATGGGAGATCTAGAAGCTCTTTAGAATCTAATTTGCCAACAGTAGGTCAAGAAACCCTTCTTGATCTTCTTGTCTTGCAAGCATGCCCCAGGAAAGAAACTTTGCAACATGATTGATTGCCTTGTTGACTTGTTCGCACCCAACCAAACTTTGCCCTAAAGCCCCTGCTGCCCGCCCCACCTCTGCCATGGCCACCGGACTGGCGCGGGCGCTGACCGAGCAGAGACCGCGGCTGGAGACCGCGCTCTCAGGGATACCGCGGCCGCCGGAGCGGAAGCTCGGGGAGTTCCTCCCGGTGGCCGAGCCGAAGAACCAATGGAAGAAGGACGCCTGGGCCACGGTGGTCTTGCAGGAGTGGAGTGGGTGGAGGGACATGGGGGAACGAGCTTGACAAACAAAATCGGGGTGTGTGCGTGACGTCCTCAATTTCTTGAGAATGAGGTTGGTTTGCGTTTTGTGGTGGGTGTTGTACGGAGTCTATTTCCGCTCGACTCGTTTGGAGAGGTCTTCTGGTGGCCCCATGACCTCGGCGGCCAAGACGTCTTCGACCAGAAGAAGGTGGTGCTGCTTGGGGAGGCCATTTGCCCTCCGCTGTCAACTCTGGGTCCCCGGTTCCGTGCGCATCGACTGCCGCTCTACCAGCGGAATCGGCAAAGTCCCATTGGCACTATGGCGTTTGAAACCTTCCAGAAGAGCCTGGATCAGTACGTGGAAGGGCTCAGAGAAAGCTTTGGGTTGGAACGCCTTGCAGAGTTGGAGGCCAAGAACATGGCCAAAGAGAAGCGACAGGAGGACTTGTATGCCTTGGAGTGTGACTTGATGAATGCATTTCCCGAGTCCTTTGCCAAACTGATGGCCGAACGTCCGCCTCCACCACCTCCGAAGCCTCCAGGCCAGAAGATGCGCCCAAGGCCGCCTGGCCAGGGGCAGCGGCCAGTGGCGATTCCCACTGGAGCGGCAGGGGAGTTTCAGGACCTGCCAGGTGCCTACAGGGGCCCTTGTTGCTTGGATATCGACCTGGCCTTCATTGGCCCTGCGGATCCGAAGCATGGGCTTCAAGCGGGTCATGATGGAACCCTGGCCTTTGAGCTGCGGACGCTGCGGGCTCCGCCCTTGGATCATGGATATGTCAGGGTGCGAGTGTGTGAGGCCGCTTTGGAGGACCCTGTGGCGAGCTACAACGGAAGTGGATCCTCAGATTCAACGCAGAATGGGCAAGTTTTAGAGCAAAACTTGCTCGAAAATCTGGCCATGGGAGCACCATCCATCTCTCAGACTCGTGCACTGTGGTCTTCACCAATGGTGGTGCTGGGGTCCTGGGCAGGATCTGGTTGTGCCCCACCTTGCACTGCTGCATGGACTGCCAGAAAGGCTTCCGCATCTCTTTGGATTGCCACCAGGGAAGAGGTCTTGCGAGCTTCCAAGCATGACATGCTTCCACGAACAGCTCAGGAAGAGATGACATTCCGGAGATGTAAACACTTCTCAATCCCTGTGACGAATGAATGGTCTCCAATTACACTGGTCCCCGCTGATCCATTGCCACGCTCAAGGGAGCTCTTCGATGAAATGGTAATGTCAAATGCTGCAGGCACCTTGCTAAGCAAGATTCACTAGGCTTGCACAGCATTTTAGGATTTGACAGACTCAACTCGACTGAAGGCTGAAGGTCCAGGCTACATCATAAACTGCAGCAATCCGATTCAAGCTGAGTTTAGTGACATAATGTCCTCACGGGCAGTGCTGCCTGATCGGATGCAAGGAAAGTTGCCCATTTGTCAGCCTGTTCATCGTTTATATCTTCCTTTAACATCCGTTGACAAGGCCCACAGATTCTAGGATTCTGGGAGATGGTCTACTGGTGCCTGCCGAATGGCATGCCAGCGTAGAACCGCCAAGCCTGAGTGTCTATTAGTTTTGGGACGAAGAATGATTTACACCTTTAGCAGACTTCTCAAGCCTTTTTGTGAGAATCTCATGACTCAGACTGGTTGAAGACCTAGTGATGTGTCACATGACAAGTCATGTGTTCATTTCAGGGGTGTGAGATGTTTCGCTGCGTCACCAGCACGCAGTTGCCCAGTTGCCTTCGGCAGCGAAGAGGCAGATATCTCAGATGGCCTACAAGAAACCATGACATTTACCAGTCGTCCGCACCCCACAGTAGTGAGTCCACCTAGACAATGAAGCTCACTGCCTTGGAGGTTAGTGTTAAGTTCTTTGGAGGGCAGATGCCTGGATGGCAAGGCTGCTGCGGAGGTTGTTCCAAGTCCCTGAGATCGTGGAGCCTCATGGTTTTGTTCACCCCTTTTCGCTGCTTTTTAGCCCCAGTTTTCAACACTGGCTCTGATTTTGGCACCACATTTTGCACTGCCACAGTCTCAGCTCGAAGCCGGTTTTGGAGACGCAGACTTAGCTGGTCGATGTTTGAGCTCGTTTCAAGTTGGCAAACCTTGCGGACAGACCAGGCCCAATGGCGCTCAACACAGCTTGGGCACTTTGGCAAGAGCAAGGGAGCAAGAAATCAGTGGATAACTGTTGTAGCTTTGTCAACATCTAAGGTGCCAACAGTGAGCTCGACTCAGGCCACGGTGGTGGGTCGTAAGACCAAACGCTTTTGTATTTACATAATAGGATCTTGGCATGTAGAAGCAGAGATCAGATTTCTGGGCTGTGTTGATGTGCTCTTAGAAAATCACGAAATGTGCGCTGGTATACTGGTGAAGGGTATTTCGTGTCAATGGACAGGTTAGTGCTCCTACAGCCCGACAAGCTGGTGCAGGCCAAGCATCCTTCAGAATTCTGATTCACCTACATACTGTAGTGCCGATGAAGGCTTATGTCACAGGCACGCAGAAAGAATCAAGTTGCCTGGCTGAAGGCCAATCAGAGCTGTCTGCCTACGGCAGTTCTCGCCTTGAACTGAGTCACCAATATGAAAAGACAGACTTTGCAACATCTCGTGGGGTTAGCCGCGTTATATAGCTGGTTTTGACCAAGCTTTTCCCATCTTTTCCCTTTCCCATGCAGAGTTGCAGCTTCCAACCCCCACGCCACCAGACAGCGCCTTCACCGATGGCGACGTTCGAGGCGCCGCCGCTGCCGGCGTGGTCGGCGCGGCCGCCGCGTTCGCGGCGGTGCCAGGCCGACGGAAAGGAGGCCGGCCGAAAGATCCGAGCGTCGATCTTTCGGCAGGTTGGAGACCTGGAGATGTTTTTTTCCAATTTTGCTTCCTTTGGGGGTTGCTGCAGTACACGGGCCAGCGCATTGGAGGGGCAAACGTGTTCCGGAGGAGTTTGGGGAAGGGAAGCGATGCCTGCAAGCGTGACAAAGTGTCATACTCTTGCTTGCTTGGGAGGCCTTTCTCGCCGTCCAGGACGCTCTTTGATAGCCTTGAAGGTGCGCGGGGTTCGCTGAAAACGAGAACAGTCACAGTCCGTGCAGCTAAGAGCTTCTGGCAGCAAGCCAAAAGGGCAGAACAAGGAGAGGGATGAAGTCTTGCAGGCGACCGATGTGATCGAGAAGCCCAAGCAGGAAGTTAAGGGCGACCTGGAAAAGGAAAACGCGACTTGCCTGGATCGAGGGTAAGGTTCCGGAATTTCCCACAGTAGTTCACCAGGCAATCCGAAGCTCTTGTTTCGTTTGCCGTTCCCTAGACCAACCTAGGAAGAGCTCATTGCGACTCTGGCCGAGCAGGCACGACATTTACATGTGGTCGTTCAACCCACATTGCATTGCCGCAGTAGTAGGACAGAAGGTGCCATGTGACAGAAGAGCCTGCAGCAAAAACAGCACAGCCCGTAACCGGTTGTGTTTCCTCGAGGGCCGGTTGTGACCGATGCATGCCGGCTATTAGGTCGAAGCGATTAATGAGCTCGAGGAGGAGTTCGAGAAGTGACATGGTGGAAGGGTGAGAAAGGCTGAGAGACAGTCTTGTTGGATGAAGATGGACCGAAGCACCGGTTGAGTGCCTTGGTTGGCGGCCTCATGTCAACACCGTACAGAATGCGACAAGAAAGCCTGGTCATGCCCATTGGACAAAAGGTTTTCACAGAAAGATGTCCGTACTCCGTACACGTTCCTACAATTCATGACCTGTGCATTATGCAGGCAAGAACATCATCCCCCATCATGTCGCTGAGGATGGGCAATGACCAGTTGCGGGCCAAAACGGACGAACTCAGAAAGAGAATCCAGGTGCCGGGATATTTCAGAGACAGACTGAAGTTGCATTTTTTTAATGTTCTCTTGTCCTTGCCCCTACTCCAATGCTTGTGAACGAGTGGGAGCCCTGACAAACGTGGCAACAAGATCTTCTGCTGGTGGCGATGGCTTCCTTCCTTCCTTCCTTCCTTCCTTCCTTCCTTCCTTTGTTTTGAGAGGCCAAGGGCTTTGAGAAGAAGACTGTGAATGAAGCCTTCGCCGTGCTTAGAGAGGCGGGCGGGTGCTGGTATTTGGAACATGTTCTGGGACAAAAGTGACACAGGAGGGCATGTGGCAATGTGTCAAAATCCTTTCCTAGATACGCTTGCCAGTTGACCCACAGCATTGGATTTTGGACATGAGATAGATCTTGCTCGGAATGTCTTTGAGCCATAAGGGCGCTACAGTATATAAGGGATTATATATATAAGTCAAATCAGGCCTCAGTCGCCCACATGAGGCTGTGTGGCGGGTCTTGGAGCTGTGGTATTTCGATGTGCAGCTCTTGGGTGGCCTGGTCCTCCACAAGGAGCGCCTGGCTGAGATGAAGACAGGTGCGACTTCGCGGGGTGTGTGGAGGTGTGGCTACACCTATGCCCGGATGGCCGTCAATTGTACATAATGAGTACAGGAAGGCCTTCCCATCCTTTCACCTTTTTCCTGCATCCAATGTTTCTATCCATTTCTGGAGATTCTTGTAGATTCTTTGCTGGTCAGACTGTGTGACTAGCTCAGTGCTTTTGACCATTTCGCCAGGCGAGGGGAAGACCATTGTGGCGCTCTTGCCGACCTTCCTGGCTGCCTTGGAGGACAAGGGTGGCGTCTTCGTGGTCACGCCCAACGACTACCTGGCCCGCCGCGACGCGGAGAACGTGGGGCAGGTGCTGCGCTTCTTGGGGCTGACCGTGGGCCTGGTGCAGTCCACCATGGAGGTGCGAGTTGGAGATGTCAGGGTTGTTGGAGGTTGGGCCGGGTCCAGGGTCTGCTGGCTCAAGGAGGTTCAAGGAGTTGAGTGCTTTGGCGTGAGTCGTGAGCTGATTTACAGCTGAAAGTAGCACAGATGAGTCTGCCTTGAAGAATGGTGAATTGAATAGGGTGTCACTTGATGAAACTTTGGCAGAACGATCAAGAAACATGAACAACATTGACACTTGGACAGGTGGCCGACAGGCAAAAAGCCTACAAGTGCGACGTGGTCTACTTGACCAATGCCGAGCTGGGCTTCGATTACCTCCGCGACAACTTGGCCGTTTATCCACATCAAGTCGTTCAGAGTCACCTGCTGCACAAGTCGTGGGGTGTCATGCAGGGAGAGAAGAAGAGAGACAGACAGACAGGACCAGACCAGACCAGACCAGAACAGAACAGACAGACAGACAGAAACGTATACAGAGAAATATATATATAGCATTATATAACCAAATACCTCCCTATATATCTATATATACATACAGACGAGACATCACTTGATATTATTCTATATAATACACTCCTCAGACACATCAACAATAAGGAAAGCTCCAAAGAGGTGTAAGTTGTGATTCACGTTCTTAGACCGATTTGGCATTCACATACTTTGGACTGATGGTTCCAACACACTACACACACACACACTTGCACCAAGCGCAAAGACAATGAAAGACAGACACAGACAGGTCACTAGTGACAGACTATACAAGCAATTTCCTTTATTTTGCGCCAAAACCTGAGGCAAGAGCTTCCACTTCTGCTTGGTGGACGAGGCAGACTCCATTTTGATCGACGAGGCCCGCACGCCGCTCATCATCTCCGAGTCGGTCCCTGCGGTGCCGCGCCAGTTCGAGGCGGGCCGCGAGGTGGCCAATGCTCTGAAGAAGGACCGCAAGGGCACATGGGGTGGAGTGGTAGTGGTAGGGCGGTAGGGGACGAGCATGGGTATCCGGAAAGGAGCAGGGTGCAAGCTGGCCAATGCGTCTCCATGTGCCTCCCGTATATAGAAAGGAGTTCGTGATCCCATACTTGTAGGTCGGAGGAACAGAGGTGGATAGAGAGTGCACAGCACACGAAGACCACATTAGATGGAACCTGAATCATATCCTTATGTTGAATGTAGACTGAAGGTTTTTCTCCTTGGCGAAGCTGCTGTCCCCACTTTGAAGGATCTTCACTACACCGTAGATGAGAAGAACATGAACGTGGTCATGACAGACCTGGGAGAGAAAGTGGCTCAGGACCGGGCCTTCTTTTTTTCAAAGAGGTTTTGGTGCCGTGTGACTGTGAGCTCTTTTTGGGATGTTCATCCTCGTTATTCGCAGCCTTTTGGTGTGGTGGACTTCATGTGTTGAACCAGCCTTCTTACAGTCAGGGAAGACGGCTCCAGACATGCCTAGACTACCTAACACCAAAGAGTTTGACCAGCTTTTTCCTGCAATGTGTCTACGGCAGGGTTTTTCCTCACAGCTGCAGGACCTGTTGCAGGTGGAGAACCTTTGGGAGCCTGAGGAGGCTTGGGAGGGGGGAAGCCTGCATAGCCAGGTGGACGTCTTATCCGTCCTGAGAGGGGTCCACCCTCCTGAGGATGCGTTTCCAACCACCACAGCTACGTGGTAGTACTAAGTCGGATGATGTCTCCCTCTCCAGGCATGGATCTTGTACGTTTTGAACGCGGTCAAGGCCAAGGAGCTCTTCCAGCTGGGTGAGGAGCGTATGGCCGTATGGGTCGGTTGGATGAAACAGCTGATGTGCCACAGGTCCCTTAAGTCAGAAGAGTGGACGTGCATGCTGCATGTCCCTTGCCAGTTAGAGTGCTTGTTCTCGAGGAATACATCATCCGAGATGGAAAAGTCTCCATCGTGGACACCTTCACTGGCCGTGTCTTGGAGGGCCGGCGCTGGTCCGACGGCATGCACCAGGCTTCGGGAAGTCAAGCGGAACGGAGAACTCACCGGGACAAGGTTGACTTTAGATCTGCTTATTTCATCCGTTGAGGGGATGCCAAGTAAGGGGCACAAATCTCAACCCTAGAAATTCTAGAAGTCATAGCAAGATGTGAGCCCAACTGCCAACATAGGCCATCGAGTGCAAGGAGAACATCTCTGTGAGCGTACGGTCTCAAGTATCTGCACAGATGCTCAGCTGACGAAGTGAAGATATGTGAACATTTGTTCGCTTCGACCATTCTTTAGACTAAGAGTCTGTGTCAACATCACATATCAACACCATCCTTCTCATGTTGCACACCTTTCATACCTTTGGTGTACAACACCATTGCCGTGTCCTGAATCCCTTATATAATCTCATGCACGCCGAACGAATCCTTGGATTTTGAGGATCACCTACCAGTCGCTCTTCCGGCTCTTCCCGCGGCTCTGCGCCATGACCGGCACCGCCTTGACGGAGGCCGCTGAGTTCGAGGAGATCTACGGCCTCCGCTGCACCGGCGTCCCCACGGCGCGGCCCAACGTGCGACGCGACTACCCGGATGTGGTCTACAAGACCGAGGAGGCCAAGCTGAACGCCATCGTGGAGGTGCGGGGGTTGGGTGGTGGAGTTGAAAGCATGGGATGGGAGAGGGTAATCAATCAAATCAGGTGTCTTAAGAAAAGGGGGCCTTAGCTTAGCTGCTGTCATTTTCATTCATTTGTGATACTCTTTCTCCTCAGCCCTGCCCAGGAGATTGTGCTGAACAACGAGCGCAACGGCCGACCGATTTTGATCGGCACTGCCAACGTGAAGATGTCTGAGGCCATTGTGAGCCGGCTGAGGGAGGCGGGTGTGGAGCCGCAGCTCCTGAATGCCCGGCCGGAGTCCATCGCTCGAGAGAACGAGACCATCTCCCAAGCAGGTGGGGGACTTAGAAGATATGGTCCCGATGTTCAAAGACTTGGGAGGCTCAAGAACTGGGAGTTTTGAATCTTGAGCGCTATTCAAGATTTCTTTGATCACATACTGTATAGTATGGCTGTGTGTATATATATATATATGCATGCCCCAGCTGGTTTTTGTTTCTGAGACCGATCGTCGAACACCACACAACTTGCAGGCCGACTGGGCATGGTGACGGTCTCTACCAACATGGCAGGGCGTGGAACCGTGTCTCGCCTCAAGCCGTGAGGAGTCGCGTTGCTGAATTTTTGAATCCCCATGTTCTCTGCAGAGACCTGTGATATGGCTGGGTCATCTGGGCTTTCTCACAGCTGCTGTGTTGAAGGTCTTGTGTTCGGAGCCATGGATCGGGAACCCAATGCCGCTCTGAGGACATCATCTTGGGTGGCAACCATTCTCAGATGGCGGCTCTGAACATCAGATCCCGACTGGCAGATGCCCTCCTGTCCATGGAGGAATCGGCCAAGGCCTTGGTTGGGAGTCTTATGTGCTCCCCTTGGTCGTCGGTCACTTTTGCCTATTTGTACCTTCAGTGTGCTACAGTATTTTCGCAGCACAATAGGCCACTTCAAGCGAGGGACATGAAGAGTGATGGACACCTAGAGTGCGGTATTTCGAGCGTTTGGCAGGTCTACAACCCTGGGGAGGAGTTTTATCCAACAGATATTCCAGGTTCGCGCACGGGCGTTGCGGTGCTGGTCCACCTTTTGTGCCACTGTCATGTGATGGAAGCGCTCAAGCATACGACGAACACGCAAGAAGCAGGATCCAGCTCAAAAGTTGACATCTTCGGAGAGTCCGCGTGTTGATTCATGCTTGTATTTCCAACAGTCCAAGACTTCAGTTCAAGCCTGTCGAACTCCCATTTTTGGGCTCGTTCGTCGCGCACACACTGGGGAATGGGTCTTTAAGTTGGAGCGTTAGGATGATGACAAAGCCCAGAACTTCCTAAGCGTGCGTCCTTGAGCACCCGAAGGACCGAGCAAAGGCGGCGACACCATCGAGCAATGCATTAGCCCTTTACGGCGTGTCCCGAACCTCCTAAGTATATGGCCCTGAAAAATCAAACACTAAGCGAACTCCACAACACCATCGAGAGATACATTCGCCCTTTACCAAAGGTTAAAACTTGCAGGTACGCCGAGTTGATCAGACTCGGTATCCCGTGATTGTGGTAGCTTCGTTGAGTGCGGTCCCACAATCACGCCGCACTCCCCTGCTCTCTACGATCGGCACAGCAAGTTCGAAGTCTTCCTCCACTTGTAACAGTTGACTAAGGTCAAGTTCAAAGTTCAAAATCAGCTCAGGTCTCCAACCGCATGTAAGAGCGGGTTACACACACACACACACATGGCCCTCCCCGTCAAAGGCTCAGACTTCATGAGTGGGCCTAAGCACAACAGTGTCCCGAAATTCTAACAGGCCGACGCCGAATACGGTCCAAGCCGGTGGGTCTCGTTAGCGTCCTTATTTTGAAAGCCTCAGACATGTGTGCCTTGGTTCGGCCGGAGCTCAAATGCAAGTCTACAGAGAAACCCAAAAGATACTGCTGGTCTTAGTCTTAAACGGGCGTGAGGCCAAAAGCGCAAGTGCAAGGCTGCACTTGAGATCCGAGCAACGAGTGCAAAGCACTGAAGTATTCAATCAAATCGACTTCTGCCGCTTTGCAACTGCGCTCGATAGCAACTTCTGCCGCTTTGCAACTGCGCTTGATTCCAGCTACATACAGTGTGTCCAGAGACTGTGTTTTCTGCCTGCGAGCCACTAATCAGCGCGACTTTTGGCGTGCAGGATTCTGGTACCTCCAAATGAGGACCAATGTCTTCTCTCGGGAAGGCCCGTGCCAACTATAGAGTCCCATGCGGGGTCTCGACGGTGTCGCCAATTCTGGCATGCACCCTCTACACACTGGGGAATGGGTCTTTAAGTTGGAGCGTTAGGATGATGACAAAGCCCAGAACTTCCTAAGCGTGCGTCCTTGAGCACCCGAAGGACCGAGCAAAGGCGGCGACACCATCGAGCAATGCATTAGCCCTTTACGGCGTGTCCCGAACCTCCTAAGTATATGGTCCTGAAAAATCAAACACTAAGCGAACTCCACGACACCATCGAGCGATACATTCGCCCTTTACCAAAGGTTAAAACTTGCAGGTACGCCGAGTTGATCAGACTCGGTATACCGTGATTGTGTTAGCTTCGTTGAGTGCGGTCCCACAATCACGCCGCACTCCCCTGCTCACTATGATCGATACACAGCAAGCTCGAAGTCTTCCTCCACTTGTAACAGTTGACTAAGGCCAAGTTCAAAGTTCAAAATCAGCCCGGGCCTCCAACCGCATGTAAGAGCGGGTTACACACACACACACACTCAGCATCCATAGCATGCATAGCATTATTTATTCAGCTCTAATTACTGTGTATGTATAGATTTATATAGATATATCTATGTATCATGAGAACGTGGTCATGGTTGTTGCCTCGTCAGCCAACCCGCCGCAGGTAGCCTAGAGAAGAGCCTCACGGAGGCAGTCGAGGCGGTGGCCAAGTGCCCGGCGGGCGAGGCCACACAGAGCTTTCTGGAAGTGGAGGCGCAGGGCGATTGGTGACAGGGCTATTGGTGGTGGGGGAGACATGCGATCAATCATTGCAGTCACCTCTTCTTAAAGCCTCCAGGATCCACCACCTAGAGCCCTGTCCGACAGGAGTTGGTGGCCTCAGTGGGTGGTGAGGCGCCCTTTGAGGCCAACGAGAGCGCTCAGGCGTTGACGGCCCTGCGGAAGGCGCGACACCTTTGGACGGTTGGATGGAGAGGAGTGACGAAGTTTTCGGGAGTATTCGACAAAGGAGTGGACGTAGAGATCTCTGTTCGAGACACATGGGCACGCTTGAACATCGCACCGCCAGAGGCCTTCGCAGAGCTAAAGACGCTCTACAAGGACCTGATGCGGATGCGGTTTCCCATTGCCACTACCAAAACGCTTAATTATATATATATATATATATTAACTATATATATATATGTTTTCATCTCCGTTGTGTTTGAACACCGTACTGCACCTTTGGGCATGGCCGCTTGATGTTCCAGTCTGCCCGCTGCGGAACCCTTCTGAGGACGCACTGACAGATGAGAAGGACCAGGTCATCAAGGCTGAGCAGCTGTGACTCACAAGGTCACACCACAAACCACACCAACCTGGGAGGATGCTTTATCAAGCTCATTGGTGCTCAGGCTTTTAGCTTGGAAGTGGGCACAATTACCCCCAAGAATTAGAATGAACAGACAATATACTGTGTACATATAATATACATGGATAGATAAATATATCACACAAACATGTACAAGTATCTATGTGAACCTGGTCAAAAAGATCCGCCCTCTTGCCGTTGATCTCCCCACAATCCACCTCAGAAGTGGCTTCTAAGTGTTCAACATGCCCTGCCGCGCTCCTCAGGCGGGCGGCCTCTATGTCCTGGGCACCACACGCCACGAGTCTCGTCGCATTGACAACCAGCTGCGCGGTCGAGCAGGTCGACAGGCGAGGACTGGCACCGACGGCGAGCGAGGGGTGACGGAGGTCATGAGATCCAACGAGTCGCGCCCAGCTGTGTGGCGAATTCCCGATCACATGTGCAATGATCACATGTGTCACTTTCTGCAGGAAGAGAGCCGTGAAGTGTAGCCATGTGCACTGCTATGTGTACATTTTCTCGGGATCGGTGTGCAATAAGACTCCATGCCCGTGCTTTGCAGGGGGATCCGGGAACCACCCGTTTCTTCATCTCCTTGCAGGACCGTCCGGGTTCTTGGGAAATCAGGTCGCGGGATGATGTAGCAAGTGCAACACTTCAACATTTGCACTTGAGAGATGCTGGCTTTGCTTGGTGGTTGGCAGTTGATTGGATTTCTGGTGCATTGGCTTTGACAGTCCCCTCGATTGGAACTGTGAGGACGATGTCTTCAGAGTCTTTGGTGGCGACAAGATCGAAACCTTGATGGACCGTCAGAAACTGCTTCAACGGCGACCTAGAACTTACTCCATCTCATGCTCTCTTGCAAAATGGCCAGACATAGGAATGCACAGCACATTCCTCTTGGAGTGATGCTTTCTCAGCCGCGCTGCCATGGGTTCCCTATTTGATGTCACTTGCAGGCCTCGCATCTCGCCAGGACCGCTTCCGGCTCGGCGACGCGATCCCGCTCCAGAGCCCCATTGACTCTGGGCGAATTTGGAGGGTCGTGACCAGGGAGTGACAGCTGCAATGATGGGCACTCCGCCCTTTTGTTACCTTCTGGGGAAAGGCAATTAGCTGTTGTCTGACGGCGGCAGGGACTGGTTGGGCCTATTGGACCAACGTGCAGTTGACAAATGAGTGCTGCTTTTGAAGGTGTGTCTCAAGAATAAGGGCCAGAGCCCCAAACAAATAGGTTCAATTTCGTATGGTTCAATTTCGTATGGTTTGGTTCTTAAGTTTGCTACTCAACAGTGTGGCGTGGTTTAGCTCGTTTCACCCCTGTGGTGTTGAGAACACATCTGTATATGTTGACCTTGATGAACCATTCCTGGACAACATCGGACAACATCGGCCAAGGTAAACGATACGCTGGACCGTGTGCAGAAAGCAGTGGAAGAGTTTTTCAAGAAGACCCGCACGACCTTGTTTGAGTTTGACAAGGCCAGGCGCTGAATCCAGCCAAGTTTTTGGGTTGCTCCAAAGAGGACTGCAACTCAATCAGCCTATTTGGATCTTGGGCAGATAGAGGCTGCATGCAGAACATTGTGTTCTACACTCCTGCTGCATTTAGATGTCAGGTGATCTCTAAGCAGAGAGAGCTCACCTACAAAACTCGGAAGGTGCGCTGGGAAAGTGCCCGTTCAAAACTCGTCACAGACAGTCGAGCCCACCTGAGCACTTGATGTTTGCGTAACTTGATAGAGTGGGTTTTGGATACATTGTCCAACGGCACCAACGAGTAAGTAGCTGGAACTAATAGTTTCTATATACATGATTTGGTCATTTGGTATATGCAGCGTGTGATTCTGTTTTCCGAGATCCCGAACGTCCGTGCTCAGGAGTTCTTGGCGAATGAAGACAAGGCCGTCATGAAGCTTGTCGAGGAGCGGTGTCGGTGGAAGTCTCTTGCTCGGGTAGAATGAACTGGCATGACTGACAACATTTGATTTGCAAGAGTTGCTGTAGTCTTTTCTCCTGTGGGTGGGTGGCTTTGGATGGTTCTTTGTCGAATCTGAAGCGGCCTTGGTTCATTCTCAGAGGTGACACTGCCTGTCAACTCTTGGTATCAGAATCCAGGAATGGACATGATATGGTGTGATCAAAGATCACAGGATGACAGCACTTTCTGTTTTTTAATTGCGGCTCCTGTAGCGTGCTTTTGAAGAGGTTTTTGGCTCTGCCAGGAGTGGGGTGAGGATGCGGTAGACTTCCACATCGACCAGGCTGGCCCGGACGCTGGTGCCAACAGTTCGCATGTGGAAAAAGCTTCTGCGAAAGCCAGCACGCTGCTCCCAGCTGCAAATGATCAGGGTTTGCATGGTTAAATCAAATGTGTTTGGATCAACATTTGGAGTCGGATCCGGTGTTACAGCAGTGCTTCGGGTTTGCAGTGCTAGCCTTTGCCCAGTGTGGTTTGTGAATGTTTGTGAGGATGCCGGTCACAAAGAATGCCCACAGATAGATCACGAATAGAAAAGCAGCTGCGCAAGTGGATGACAATTGCATTGGTACTGTCATAGCGCTGTGACAATTGCATTGGTACTGTCATAGTTCTTCAAAACGTCAACGCAGAGCTATCATGAGTGCCTATCAAAACATTCCTGACGGCAGCAGCGTGGCCATGATCAGAAACTGACAGGTGAAGGACAAGAGTGACGAAGAGAAAGCAAAGGAGTTTGAGGAATACTTCGGCCGCACGGCCTATCATTTGTTGGCCGGGTGTTTACGAAGAGTCTGTATGGGGTGTGGCTGAAAGCGAGGGCCGCCTTGCAAGTGTGATAGAGCTGCTACAGGAAGATCTACAAGAAAGTCTATTCAGTCTGTTCATTTCCCCCACCGAGTAGAGGCTTTCCAGTAGATCGCCTGCAGAACAACTCCATGAAAGTGGACCCTTGATTCTGATGATAAAATCTTCCGAATTGGAAAGGCCGGCTTTGTTTTCGTTGTTTTTTTCTTGGGCATAGGGTTGTTGAGCACTTGGGGCACAGGCTCACGCGACTGGTGATGATTGGTAGGACGTGAACCCATTTTAGCACAGCACCCTATCCGATGTCCGCCTTGAAACTTGGCAGGACTATGCTGATGTGTTCTGGGGGTAGTATGCTGTCACTCCGTCGAGTCCCTGTGTGCCATGAAACGCATCATGAAACCAGTCAACACCCAAGGCTTCGACATGCCCGAGCTCGGTGCAGACATGAAGGCCGACTCTTGGATTGTGAGAGGCGAAGTGGTCTTTTGGCATTGGGGGGGCGGCAGGGCCATCAGGCGACAAAACCTAGCCAGGACGAGTCACAAAACATGGGGTGGACCCTTTCCAACTGAAAAATCACTAGTTAGTTCTGGAAGCCTTTTTTTTGACGAGGACACCAAGAAGGCCAAAGAGGCTGCCAGAGCGGTTCTCTCGAAGGCCGTGCGGGAGAGCATCAAGAAGAAGGCAGCCTCCTATGAGGAGTGCAGTGGCAGAAGGCAAAAGTCGGCCAGACTCCCTTGATAACATTCAGAGTCCGGAGGCTTTAACCATATATATATATACATATGTACCTATATACCTGTAGAGTAGCATGGCAGCACCCGCCACAAAATCCATCATGGCCTTGGATTTCAGCATCCTGTGGCAAACTGTTTGCAGGAGTTCCGACCTGGCTTTGCGGTTGAAGCCGCACGCATCGCCACCGTGGTGATTTTCGGCTGCAATTTGCGGCGTTGAGGGAAGTCTTCAAAATCCCGTTGAGGGAAGCCCCAAGCGCTGAACACTTGATAATAGTTCAGGCTATAGTTAATAGTCAATAGTTATAGTTATAGTTCAATTATACATCTGTTTATAGTTTCAATACAATACAGATTTTATCTATTAATGGTTCAGGCAAAATGGATATATGATTAGGTGCCCCTTTGAAGCTCGGGCTCTCTTGAGTATGGAGTCTCTTTGCGGTCCCTGCCCGTTCGGTGTAGAATATATTTGTTGTGGAGGTCAATTTTTTGCAACCAAACCGTTTTGGAAGTGATGAACCTTCCTTCAAAACTGATGTCACAGCTGTTTGCAGAAGTGACACCGCAGATTGGTTGGAAGCAACAGTCAGATGGTAGCTGAGGGGTGGCCTGGGTGGCCTGGGGGTTTGATCTTGGGCACTGAGGACCATCGACGATGAGTGGAAGGCTTTGTTGCAAAAGATGGATGCATTGAAGCAGACCGTGGGCCACTGGCCTTTAACAATTTGAGTCCTGGGATCTTTGAGTAACAGATTCCTGCGGGGGACCAGCTTCCCAGTATCTACGATAGTGGAGGATCTCTTTCATCCAATTTGACATTCCTTCGCGGCCGCCACATGCGGATTCACCCAGACACCTGACGCTGACATGCTCCTCCGCACGCTTATCACGTTTCTTTGTGGGTGGGGCATCCCGAGGTCTGGCAGCCTACAAGGGCACCGAGCCACTCAAAGAGTACCAGGCTGGTGGCGCGCATGCGGAAGGCTGTGGCGCTGGTGAGTCATTTTTCTAAGCATGTTGATTCCAATGTCGATCCATGCTTTCACGTGCATGCTGAAGAGAGCATGGCATGATGTGCTCACGCAAGCTCGTAGTGGAGGACATGTCTCAGGGTGTCACTCAGCTGCCTTCAGGTGCAAGGTTTCAAGATGTACCAGAAGGCCAGCTGCTTGATAAGCGGAAGTGGATGATGAGAGCGGTGAGAATTCTCTCGTTCCTGCAAGCACATGATATTAAAGCCTTGCAGACTTTCACCCTGGGGCCCGATAGGCCAAGGGCGGCAGGTAAGATCATGATTCGATGCATCCTTCCACAGAAGTCACCCTGGGTGATTTTTTCGTCGGAGGGTTCCAATACCTTGGCTGAGGTGGAGAACAAATACAAAGCCCGATCGGTGGCTTGGATGCATTCACCGGTGGCGTATTTCTTCCCAAAAGGGTGCGATAGGTGGCGGTGCCGAGAGTTTGAGGATTCGAGGATCCTCGCTTTCATCATCTCGATGACATCTGATATCTACGACTTCCTGTCTTGGCAAGAACAGGGTTACAGGGTTCACTTCTGTTGAGCACAAAGCCTGAGTAACACTGTAAGTCTTTTGTCCAAGGTCAGCCGCTGGCTCCGCTCAAAGCCGAAGAAGGATGCCAAGCAGTAGCTGCTGGCCACTTGGTAGCAAGACCGTACAAGTGTATCGAATATATGGCCTATTCCATCTATGCGGAACTTCTTGCGCACACAAACACACACACACCCATCCCAGGTCACGATGTAAAGAAGATGAGAGGCTCCCTTGTAAGTCTTAGACGCGAGACCCCTGCTTGCCTGTCGAGTCGAGGTATTTCGTGGCTGACTTCGGTGTGCCGCGCCGACGTAGTTGAGATTTTCAGCCTGGCATGGACCTGGCCATTTTCGACTGACAACATGGTGCAAGCCTCTAAGGAAGGTGTGAGAACATCTCCGCATCAATACATGATTACGCAAAAGTTAGGAACTCAGTTCGTTGCTGCTTAGACCCTCGCAGATTTTGCAGGGCTCCCTTGCTTTGAAACTAGGGGTTTCTGTGTGCAGCGCCCCCGCACCAGTGATGTCCTTTTTCCAGGTGCGCTGGGTCCAATCTCATAACTCATAATCGCAAAATGACAGTACACTGCAGTGTCTTTAGCAAAACCATGCAGGGGAGTTGCAGGTTGCAACCTGTACTCACACTCAAACTCTGGAAACCGGGGTTTATGAACAAACCAACCCAAGAGAGCATAAGAGAGCATACGAATGCCACAACCTGCGGCAGGAAGAGGACCCAGCACAACCATGTGAATCTTGATCGATTTCTCAAGGAGATCGACCGGATGCCAGTAGCAAGACCAAAAAGAGAGAGGAGGCCATCGCTATTATGTTGGAGGCCATCGTGAATAATTGGGAACTGTAAAGAACTGTACCAGACAATGGACTGGGAATTATATTGTCCTCCATTAACAGGTATTTTTTTGTGTCATGTAAAGAACTGTTTGTGGGATCAACAGACCGAGGCAGGTCCAGAGAAACCGTGGGAGGTCCTGTCCCGTGGTGACCGCCAACCGGTGTTGGCGGTTGGTGAACCACGGAGAGTTCATGAGAGTTCTGTCCGGTTAAGACCGGAGGTCCCGAGTTCGGTGATGAACTGAGGCCCCTAGTAGCTTCTTGTTCCTAGTAGTAAGGCCAGGAGCTACTAGTAGCGTCCTTGCTCCTAGTAGCGATGCCAGGAGCCCCTAGTAGCTTCTTGTTCTGTTTCAAAGGTTCAAGCTGTTTTCTCCTGTTTGCCTCTCCCTGGACAGAGGAAGGGCTTGGATTACGTGAGTGGCTGTCTATGAGGGTTTGGAGTCACAGAACGGCCCTCCTGCGCCACAATCACCACACATTTGCATGTCCGCAGCATTTGTATCTTGAGCTTGTGCCAAGAACGCCGACCTTCGAAAGCCACACCTTTGCCAAGCCCCAGCAATGCTTAGAAAGCCTGCCTTCCTGGCTGCTGCTTGGCTCAAAATGGTCGAAGTAAGTCTTGTGATTAAAAGATCATGCTGTTCATTTATCCAAGATGAAAGGCACGTCACAGTTTCTCAGGTCCTACTGTAGGACGGCAGCTGTGAATGCCACCCGAACCAACCCAGTTGCAGGCAAGCCTGACGGTGGCGCATTTGGTTCCGCTTTTCCTGAAGCCCAT